TCTGTTTTTGTTTTTGATGTTGCTGTTGCTTTTGCTTTGCTTTTGTTGTTGCTTTTGCTTGATTTGTGTTTTGCTTTGCCTGCGCACAGACACACACATGCATGTTTTCGCATTCCTTCACCGGGTGTGCTTGAGAATGCCCCGTATCCGGTCTACACCGCACGACTTGGCATTGAGCAAGGTTGTGCAACACTTGCTACACCGAACGTTCCTACGAAATTGTACAGCAGCAGCAACTCCCAGATCGGTGCATCATCCCAGATCGGCGCAGCATCATCTATGCTGCGCTATGCTATGCTATGCTATGCTGTGCTGCGCTATGCTATGCTATGCTGCGCTATGAAATGCTATGATATGCTATGTTATGCTATGATATGATGCGCTATGCTATGCTATGATATGCTATGTTATGATATGCTATGCTATGCTATGATATGCTATGCTATGCTATGCTATGCTATGCTATGCTATGCTGCGCTGTGCTATGCTATGCTAAGCTCAGCTATGCTACGCTATGTCATGCTGCGCTATGTGATGCTATGCTATGCTATGCTGTGATGTGCTATGTTATGCTGCGCTATGCTCTGATGCGCTATGATATGCTATGCTATGCTATGATATGCTATGCTATGCTATGCTATGCTAATGCTGCGCTGCGCTCAGCTAAGCTAAGCTGAGCTAAGCTCAGTTAAGCTAAGCTAAGCTAAGCTAGGCTAGGCTAGGCTAAGCTAAATCTAAGCTAAGCTAAGCAAATCTAAGCTAAGCTAGGCAAGGCTAAGCTAAGCTAAGCTAAGTTGAGCTAAGCTAAGCGAAGCCAAGTTAAGCTAGGTTAAGCCAAGATGAGATAAGCAGCGCTAAGCTAAGGGGACGTAACTGGGGGAACCGCGGGGCGGATACTGGTGGAACCGCCCGGGGCGGGTTACACTGCCTGGCCCTTTAAGCACACCGAGTGAGAACCCTTCTAGGCAGAGCCTAGGTAGGGAATATGTACATATATACAAATAGATGTGTATGTACCCCTCTCTCTCGATCTATGCCTCTCTCTCCTCCCCTATCTCTCTTTCTCTCTCTCTCTCTCTCTCTCTTTCTCTTTCTCTCTCTCTCTCTCTCTCTCTCTCTCTCCCTCTCTGTATATATATATATATACATGTACGTGTATCTAGATGTATATAGATGTGTATTGTTTCACTCTCTCTGTCTGTCTCTCTTGCTCTCTCTCCCTCTCCCTGTTTATATTGAAATGTGGAAAATAACGGAAGAAAGAAGAGAAGATGGAGGAGGAGCAGAAGGAGAAGAACTGGCAGAAGGGGAATACGGAGGAAGAAGAGAAGGGTGGGGAGGAGGGCGGAGGAAGGGGAGCAGAACTAGGAGGGGAAGCATGAGGAGCACGAGGAGAGGGAACACGAGAAGGAACGGCCGAAAACACATCCTCCACCTGCCCCTCCTCATCCTCATCGTCGACGTCTGCATCATCAGCATCAGCACCACCATCATCCCTCATCATCATCATCCTCATCATCACCATCACCATCATCATCACCAGCACCACCATCATCCCCAATCCTCGTCATCGTCGCCACCACCACCACCACCACCATTATCATCATCGTCGTCAACGTCGTCGTCGTCGATGTCGACGTCGCAACCGTCGTCGCAACAGTCGCCGCGGTCATCCTCACCACCAACGCCGTCGCTGCCGTCCTCATCATCACCACTACCACCACCACCACCACATCATCATCATCATCATCATCATCATCATCAACATCATCATCATCATCATCATCATCATCATCATCATCATCATCATCATCATCATCATCATCATCATCATCGTCGTCATCATAATCAACATCATCACCATCATAACCGTCATCATCATCACCATCATCATCTTCAGCATCAGCATCAGCGTCATCATCGCTATAGTCATCACCATAACATCCACCACCATCAGCACCCCCTATCGCCCCCAAGCATCATCATCATCAGCAGCATCGACATCAGCATCTGCATCGGCATCCGCAGCATCATTAGCAGCAGCAACAGCGTCAGCATCAGCATCAGCAGAATGATCTGCAGCATCAACAGCAGCATCATCATCAGCATCAGCATCAACATCAACATCATCAGCACCCACATCCTCATCCTCATCCTCATCCTCATCATGACCGTCCTCATCATCATCCTCATCATCATCTTCACCATCATCAGCATCAGCATCAGCATCAACAGCAGCATCAGCATCGTCATCAGCATCGTCATCATCATCATCACGATCATGATCATAACCAGCATCATCCCCATCATCGTCATCATTTCAAACAACATCAACAACAGCATCATCACCACCACCACCACCATCGATATCGTCGTCGACGACGTCGCACCCGCTGTCACGATATCAAAATCATCCTCACCATCAACGTCGTCGCCACCATCCTTATCATCATACCCACCACCACCATCATCACCACCACTACCACCATCAAAAACAGACTCGTCATCACCACCATCATCATCATCACCACCATCATCATCGTCGTCATTATCACCACCACCATCACCATCATCATCATCAAAATCATCATCGTCATCATCATCATCATCGTCGTCGTCGTCGCAACGCTGCGACCAGGCCAGCAGCAGATCCGCCGCGGCCGCGCCCGGGAAGGAGGAGGGGGGCTCCGTCGACACGACCGGAATGGCGGTGTCGCCCGGGTACACCGGCGCGGACAGGGTCGTCCACACGCCCTCACTCCCTCCATTCTCGCTGGAGATTGAGCGGGGTCCCGGAGGGAGTGGACGGCACGGGTGAAGAGGAGAAGAAGAAGAAGAAGAAGAGTTGTCTTATCCTCGTCCGCTCTGGATACCGGTCCTCGGGATAATGGGAACGACGAGGGTCAGGAAAAAGGAGTTAGACAAAGGACGAGCTGGAGGCAGGGGCAGGATAATGAATTGGGCTGATGATGAGGGAGACGGGGACAGGGAATGAAGGGAAAGGGAGGCGGAGGGTGAGGAACGTGAGGAGAGTGAGAAAAGCGAGGAGGATGGCGGAGGAGCCATGGAGCCATGGAAAATAGAGAAGCGAACCCGCGCGAGAGGCGTGCCTCAGACGAGAGTACTGCCTCATCGCAAAACGGGCCGCCTTCCGCCCCCACACCACGAGACCTCCGTCCTCACGTGCAGGGGAGGCCGCTCGCTCAACGGCGAGGAGCTCACGCAACACGGTCGAGCTACAGGTCAGCGCCTTTTCGCCCCGTGATTCGCTAACCATACGTGAAGGCGGCGGTGCATAGGGGGACTGTCTGTTCACCTCCTCACTTTGAGGACCTTCCCCACGATCAACCCTTGCCAAGACATGCGACGCGTGCAACTGCGTTGGCGCCCCAGGGCGAGTAGGCGCGAGGGCCACATGGGACTCATGGACCACACGGCCCCGCCACTCCACCAAATGCACGAGATCCCCGCGCCTGGAAGCCCAAGGTGGCCCCAGCGTCACGGGCGTATTGGGCGTGGCTTAATGGGGGGGTCACAATTGGGGGGGTCAAAAAAGGTCCCATTTCGTGCTCCTTTCGGGCCCCTCCGGAGCCCCAGGGGGCTCGTCTAGGTACCGTTTGGGTGCCTTTTCGGACCACCCGCGACACCCCCCCATTTATGACCCCCCCATTACGCGGCGCCCAAGCGTAGCTGAGCGCCACGGCCCCGGACGAGGTGCCGCGGGGCGGGACCCAACAGGGCGGCGTCGGGCCGAACACCAGAATACAAACACCCAGCGGAGCAGGAACTGCCCCCCCGCCGCGGGGGGGAGGATGGCAGAGGAGGGCGAGGGCGAGGACGAGGAGGCGGCGGAGGATAAACCTCAGGGGATGGGATTGGAAGGAGGCCGGGGCAGCAGCAGCAGCAGCAGAAGGGATTGGGGGGGGGAGGAGAGAGTGGAGAGGAGGAGGAGGAGGAGGATGCAGAATGCACGAGGAGAAAGAGGAGGAGGAGGCAACGGAGGAGTTGCAGGATGCACGAGGAGAGCGAGGAGGATGAGGAGGAAGAGGTTGACGAGGATTTCTGGAGAAGCGTGCGCAACGCACCGCACTGCGCTGGACCACGCAAGCTGCCCAGCGACGAAGCAGTCATGCTGACGATCAAGACATTATTACGTGTAAGGCAAGCATGGAAGCTGCCTTGCCAGCATCACAGCGATCCCAATGCTGGTATCACGACGGGCTCGAACTCTGGGTGACGGTGCAGCACATTTCCGCCTGCCGCTCCAATCGCTTGGCGGCGCGCACAGGGGGGTATGGGGGAGGGGGGAAGGCTTCTCGGAAGGAGGATGCTTCTGAGAAGGCGCGGGTCCCACACCTGCAGAGAAGGCCCGCGCCTTCTGAGAAGCAGGGCGCTTCCAAGAAGCCTCCCCCCTCCCCCTGCCCCCCCCCTCTGCGCGTGGCCGACCCACGCCCGTCCTCCTCCACACTCGACGTGCCGAGACGCACCAGCACCCACCGACCCGCCCGCCCCCCCGAGCGCCGGAGGCGGGTCGGGCAATGCAGGCGTCGGCACGGGCGGCATCGTCGGGGGCACCGGCGTCGGGGGATGCGTGTACCCATCGACGGTGGGGGACGGCGTCGGCGCCTCGGGCGGGGCAGGGGGGGGCCATCTTCCCGGATCCCTCTCCGCATCCCTCGCACTGTCCTCCTCCTCCTCCTCCTCCTCCTCCTCCTCCTCCTCCTCCTCCTCCTCCTCCTCCTCCTCCGCCTCCTCCGACTCCTGCTGCTCCCCGGCACGGCGCCGAGGCCCCACCCGCTGCTCCGAGTGGAGGGAGCATGTCTCCGTCTCCGCAAGGGAGGCATATGCACCGAGTCTGTACCGAGGACGAGCCTGAGCAGGAGCGGTACACGCGCATGCTTTTCGTCGCCCGATGGAACATGGAGCTTGTCCCCAGAGAGCACGGGCTCTGAGCGGCGGGCCACGGTCACAGTGGGGCCCCAGAACCCTGCAGTGACGGACCGCGTGGAGACCTCGGGATCCACCACGACCTCACCGCGCGGTCCGTCACCGCACGGCTTTTGGGACCCTGGGGGCCCCAGTCGCCCGAGACGTCCTCGGAGGACGACCCGAGTCCCAAAACCGCGCGGTGACCCCGAATCCCCACTGACTCACCGCGCGGTGTGGTCACCGCACCACTTGGGGCCCCCCGACTCCGTGGCGTTCAGGCCCAAACTCGGCTCTCCAGCGGCCGTTCGGGACGATCAGGACACCCCCGGAACGCCCTGCGGGACCCCGATGCGACAGGGGGCCCCCGAACTGCGCTGCTGCGACTGCCGTGACCAGACCCTGCCCGAGAGAGTGCGCTGCGGGGCCCCGGTGGAGCACAGCTGCGGCGCGCGGCAGAAGGCCACGTGGCCCAACAGCGACCCGAGTGGCGAGACGGCCCGCGGAGCGCCGACTGAAATCTGCCTGCCTGGCTGTTTCCGCCTCCTCCTCCTCCTCCTCCTCCTCCTCCTACTCCTCCTCCTCGTCCTCCTCCTCCCCCTCATACCCCTACTTCTACTCATACTTCTACTTCTACGACTACTTCTACTCCTATTACTACTACTACTACTACTACTACTACTACTACTACTACGACTACGACTACGACTACGACTACGACTACGACTACGACTACGACTACGACTACGACTACGACTACGACTACGACTACGACTACGATTACGACTACGACTACGACTACTACTACTACCACTACCACTACCACTACTACTACTACTACTACTACTACTACTACTACTACTACTGCTACTGCTACTGCTACTGCTACTACGACATATATTACCACTACTACTTATAATAATTACAATAATCATAATAATAAGAATGATGATGACAATAATCATAATAATACTAATAATAGTAATAGTAATAATCATACTAATAATAATAATAATAATAATAATAATAATAAGGATAATAATAATAATAATAATAAGTGGCACGCGTGCCGTGGCTCTTGCACAAAGGAGCTGCGAAGGACTGGGAACACTGGACGGAGGAAGGCTGGACGGAGGAAGGCTCCCAGGGGGGGGTGGCTCAGGGAAGCTGGGGCTCAGGCTCAGGGGGGGGGGCGAGGGGGACGAACCACCACGAGCCACGAACCACGACGAAAGTAAAGGGTTCCGCGGCCCAGGGGGGCTGCCCTGGGGAAGCCTGGACGGAGGGGGGTCCCAAGGGGGGGTGGCCTGGGGGAGCTGGGGCTCAGGCTCAGGGGAGGGGCCGAGGGTGACGAATCACGACGAACCACAAACCACGACGAAAATAAGGATGTCCGCGGCCCAGGGGGCTGTCCTGGGAAGCCTGGGCGGAGCAAGCCCCTCCTCGGAGGCGCGCGCCCCACCCGCACACTTAGGACAGCCATCTTGTAGCAGCTCGTTCCCCGCGCGGCGCGGCCAGAAGGCGCCCCGCCACGGAGCGCATACTAGAAGATTCCTCGGTGCGCGCGTCGCCCCTGGGGGGGAACACACACTTTAGTGTGGCTGCCACGACAATGGACACCCTGACAGTCCAATCATTGAACTTAACATGTGTTCGAAATGTAGGAAACATGTTCTAAACATGTGTTGAACATGTTTTTTACATGTTCAAAACATGTTTAACACATGGTTTAGACATCTGGAAATGATTTGGCGACATGCTTCCTCTCCATTGATCGTCCTCCACAAACATAAGATTAGTAAGGGCATCGTGTAACCGACCCCTACCCCCATGAACGTGGCATGGGCCCCAGTGGCCGATTGACCCCCCTAGATGGCGATACAGGCTGTTCCCTTCGGGTTTCGAGGTGTGCGTCCCCAACTGGGGCGCAAGGATGCGGGGGGTCTGGATGGGGATGGGGATGGGGACCGGTTAAACTCGGGGGCGGCCAAGAGGGGGGCGTCCAAGAGGGGGGGGTGCAAACCGTGGCCCGCGGCATGTGCGCGGCCCAAGGGGGTTGGGGCCAGGGACGCAATGCAATGAGAAGAGGCGCCATGAGATCTGGGGAAACATCATGGCCGGCGCCATGATGTCCACCCCCCCCCTAGTCATCACCCCCCTCTCTGCCGCCCCCGATGAGCGATACCGATAGCATGTTGGGGCGACGCCGAGACCAGGCGCCCTCGGGCCAGACGCTCGCAGCGCCCCCGGCCGGGGCGGCGAGGGGGCCCCTTCGCCTGCGCCCCTGTGCCTCCTCGGGAGGCCTCTCCGGGAGAGGCCGCTGGAGGTCGCCACGGGGGGAAAACCAAAAGGCACGATACCGCAGGGGCCCTTCCACAGGAAACCTTTTTTTTTGAGATGGGAGCGGACGGCGGCACTATACACAGAACGCCTCGCCAAGCGCGCCTAAACCAGCCAGCGCTTCGCAAGTCTGTCCTGCGAATGTGGCCAGATACCTGCCAGGGAGCGGGCCCGTCTTCCGCCCTTCCACAAGAAACCTGCCACAAGAAACCCAGCCCTGAGACCCGGGGACGTCCGCTGATTCTCGGTGTGGGAACGTTGCGCTTCTCCCTGGGTGCGCTCCGACCAGGCCTAGCCGCGGCGACGAGGGCCTCCCGCGAGACCCAAAACGAGGCGAGAAGATTTCCTCCTCTGGTCCATGGGGTCCCTGGACAGTCCCGAAAACCGAGCCCCAACCTCAGGTCGGGCATGTCCCCCTACAGGCGGATGTTGGACGAAAACAAAAAATAGTCAAAAAATTGAAGAATTGTCAAAAAAATAATCGAAAAGTCGTTCCCAGACTATTGTTGTACCATGTTTGAAGATTCCTCCTGTAGAGGGACATGCCCAACTTAGCCCCAACCCCGACATCCGCGTTCGGGCCCAGAAATTCGCGGCGAGCCCGCCCGCGGCTGCGAGAGGGCCCTCAATTGGAGGCCCAGACCGGGCGGGCACGTCGGCATGCTCTCCCCCATGCGCCAGACGAGGGAGAAGGATCGGCGTTCACGTGGACCTTCGGAGAGGTCCGCGCGAACTTCTCTGACCCGCCCTGCCCTGGGAAGAGTTGCGCTGGCGCCGACGTGCTCTTTCTGCAGGTCGTGTTATGTGCCTCCGGTTTCTCGGGGGCGGCAAAGAGGGGGGTGTCCAAGAGGGGGGGGTGCAAATCATGACCGGCGGCATGTGCGCGGCCCAGCGGGGGGGCCAGGGACGTAATGAAATAAGAAGAGGCGCCATGAAATCTGGGGAAATATCATGGCCCCCGCCATGATGTCCACCCCCCCCCCCTAGTCATCACCCCCCTCTTTTCCGCCCCCGAGTTTCGTGAGGTGCGGCTGTCACACGCACTGCAGGCTCGCTGCCGCGTGCATGTGCTTGTATGCCGCCTCTTGGGTGTTCGTACTGGTGGGTACTTCGTATTCGGGGGGGTGGGGCATACACCGAAGGGGCCCACGGAGGCACAAAAGAAACAGACACCCGGACTCCAGGATGCGCCACACGGTCCCGTATCTTCTGGATATCCGTCTCCCCCCCCCATTTCCCATATTCCCCCACGTGGTCCTGGAAATCTGCGCTCCTCTGTGTAGGCGTCCCGTGTCCTCCCTCCCGACAACCAGGGCGGGGAAAAGAGGTGTGCTTTCTGCTCACCTTCGGGGCCCCAGGGCCCTGCAGCCTTCGGCCCCCCCCCCAAGTATGGAGAACAGGACCGGCGCACATAAGCCCCCCCGGCCGTATCTTGAGGCACCCCACGCAAGAAATCGTGGCACCATCTCTTGAGACGCCATGTCTTGAGACACCCCACGGGCGCCCTTGCCACACCAACAAAAAAATCTGCGGCGCTGGCACCCCCCTTTCCTAGCGCGCGGCGCGAGCAAGGGGCGGCGCCGAAGGCACCGCCAGGAGAGTCCAGCGCCGATCCAAGAAATCCGCGCAGGCCTCCGACAAAATGCTTCTGCTGTTTCTTCTTATTATTATTCTTCTTCTTCTCATTATTACTAGCATCATCATTATTATTCTCATTCGTCTTCTTATTATTATGAGTATTAGTATGAGTATTATTATTACTAGTATTATTATTCGTATTATTCTTACTATTATTCTTCTTAATAGTATTATTCATATTCTTCTTATTATTCCCGGCGGAGCCGGGTGAAATTCCGTGCCCGCCGGCTGACTGATGACTGACTGAACGTCAGGGGACAGCTCGGGAGACACATTTCAAACCGCCCGCGGGAGCGCAACCCGGCGGCGGCAACCGCAACCCAACCGGGCGACACATTTCAAAGCGCCCGCGGGAGCGCGCAACCGCAACCGCAACCGGGCGACACATTTCAAAGCGCCCGCGGGAGCGCGCAACCGCAACCGCAACCGGGCGACACATTTCAAAGCGCCCGCGGGAGCGCGCAACCGCAACCGCAACCGCAACCGGGCGACACATTTCAAAGCGCCCGCGGGCGCGCAACCGCAACCGCAACCGGGCGACACATTTCAAAGCGCCCGCAACCGCAACCGCAACCGCAACCGGGCGACACATTTCAAAGCGCCCGCGGGAGCGCGCAAACCGCAACCGCAACCGGGCGACACATTTCAAAGCGCCCGCGGGCGCGCAACCGCAACCGCAACCCGGCGACACATTTCAAAGCGCCCGCGGGAGCGCGCAACCGCAACCGCAACCGGGCGACACATTTCAAAGCGCCCGCGGGAGCGCGCAACCGCAGCCGCAACCGCGCGCAACCGCAACCGCAACCGCAACCGGGCGACACATTTCAAAGCGCCCGCGGGAGCGCGCAACCGCAACCGCAACCGCAACCGGGCGACACATTTCAAAGCGCCCGCGGGAGCGCGCAACCGCAACCGCAACCGCAACCGGGCGACACATTTCAAAGCGCCCGCGGGCGCGCGCAACCGCAACCGCAACCGGGCGACACATTTCAAAGCGCCCGCGGGAGCGCGCAACCGCAACCGCAACCGCAACCGGGCGACACATTTCAAAGCGCCCGCGGGAGCGCGCAACCGCAACCGCAACCGGGCGACACATTTCAAAGCGCCCGCGGGAGCGCGCAACCGCAACCGCAACCGGGCGACACATTTCAAAGCGCCCGCGGGAGCGCGCAACCGCAACCGCAACGGCAACTGGGCGACACATTTCAAAGCGCCCGCGGGAGCGCGCAACCGCAACCGCAACCGCAACCGGGCGACACATTTCAAAGCGCCCGCGGGAGGGCGCACCCGCAGGGTTTCAAGGGGGTCGATTGCGCGTGCACTTGTGCGTAAGCTGCCCGCGGAAGGTGGCGCGTAGGCGCCTTAATGCGGTCTGCCGCGCGAGCGGCTTGCGTGATCCACCGCGCAAGGTCGTCGCGCAATCGAGTGCAACCCCCCTTCTGATCGTTTCTCCCTGGGGGGTCAGGCGAGTGGAATTGCCTCAGCCACGTCTCGGCCACGCTCGTGGGACTGCCCCCCGCAGGGTTTCAAGGGGGTCGATTGCGCGGGCACTCGCGCGCATGCCGCCCTCGTAAGTTCGCGCGTCTGCCGCGCGAGCGGCCTGCGTGAGCCACCGCGCAAGGTCGTCGCGCATTCGAGTGCAACCCCCCTTCTGATCGTTTCTCCCGGGGGGGTTCAGGCGAGTGGAGTTGCCTCAGCCACATTTCGGCCACGCTCGTGGGACTGCCCCCCGCAGGGTTTCAAGGGGGTCGATTGGGGGCGGGGGACGACAAGGAGAAGAAGGAGGAGCCACTGGCGGAGGGCCCGACGACGAGCCCCCGCGTGGCCCGCGGTTCTCCGCCGGGACATTGCAGCGGGGAATCCCTATTCCACGCTGCTGCCCTTGATTATTCTTCTTATTGTTATTATTACTATTATTATTACGATTATTATTACGATTATTATTATTAGTATTATTATTATTATTATTCCTTTCGACCCTTACGAAACGCCCGACCCTCCCTCCCTCGATCCTCCTGCCCCCCAGGCGGGCGCCCAGGTCGGCGGCGTCGGCGCCGCGGTGGGTGCCACCGAGGGCGACGGCCCGCCGAGCAGCGTCGGCGAGGGCCTCGGTGCCGAGGAGCCGCCGGCGCCACTGCCGTCAGCGGCTGCGGCGGCGACGAGCGTCGGATGCGGCGGCGCCGAGCGTCGCCGTCGGCGGCGGCGGCGCCGTCCGTCAGCGGCGTCGACGGCGGCGGCGACGACGGCGACGGCGGCGATGCTCGACGCCGGCGGCGGCGGCGTCGGCGGCGGCGACGACGCCGGCGGCGGCGGCGGCGACGGCGGCAGCGGCAGCGTTCACAGGCGCGGTGGCGAGAGCGGCATTCCAGAAGACGCGTCGCGTCTGTCCGCGCAGCTGCAGAAAACGTAAGACGAATGCGCCCGGCGTCAGCGCGAGAGCCAAATTTTGACAACCATCCGTCCTCGATTCGTGGAGATGTCGCGAAAGCGAAACCTCGGCATCAAAATCCGCGAGGCCATCGCAAACAAAACGCCCAGCCCGCCCAGCCGACACGCCTGGTGGTGCGAGAAAGAAGGGCATGCGATGCCAAAGGAAGGCGGATGGAAGAGCAGGAAAAGATGAGGAAGGGGGACGCGGGGGCAGGCGGACAGCAAGGACGAGGGCGAGGAGGTCAAGGACGGGGTAGAAGACGATGGGGAAGAGGAGGGAGGAGGAGGGGGAGGGGGGAGAAGCAGGGGGAGGGGGAATGAGGAGGAAGAGTGTGGTGGGACAATCAATGAGGAGAAAGGCGGGATGGGAGGAGGGGAGAAGGAACAGAAGAGGAGGAAGAGGATGAGGAAAGCAGAAGAGGAAGAAGAGGACGAAAAGGAGGAGGCGAGTGAGGGGGTGAGGTGGTGGGAATTCTGAGTCTAATTGTATGAAATGCGGGGGTCCTGCTCTCGACAAGCCGCTACTCAACAACTCCGCCTTAGTCGGGGAATGCACTGCCCGACTTTGGGGGCAGGCCCCTGGAGCCGAGACAGAACCTCCTTCTCCGCCTTTGAAGGGCATGGACCTCGAGACGGGTTTCCGCAAACACCTTTTCTTCACAATGCGCGAGGGGTCACAATGCAGAAGCCAGCACACGCCCGGCAAAACAGGACCCCGCGCAGCCCCGCGAGTTGGCGGGAGGAACGACATTGGTCTGCCCTCGGGTGGTCAATCGCGCCACCGCATATCACAGCCGGGCCTAAATCATCATCCGGAGGCTCAAGGTCTCTGTAAAACCACCTGTGCCGGGGAGGCAAAACCGAAATCCTCTGCTGGACGACACACGTAGGTCTGCATGGAATCGGCCAAAAAAACAGCTCGCTTACCTCGGCGATTGAAGGCAAGGCAGCAGACACCACAGCGCACAAAAAACTGCTTGACAATGAGAGACTGCACCGCATCTCGGAGCCGACAAAGGCGCACAGACACAGAGGTAACGCTCCCGCGAGCTCGCTACGGCTCACAGGGCCCACCTCGCCCCCTCTCAGACGTTAAAAAAACCTCTGAACAGCTGGCAGACGTTTCAAAACTTTTAGGGTGCGACCAGATGCCCTTCGAGCGGCGGCGGCATCTTCTCGCTGACTTGGGACTGCTCAGCTGACCACTCCGCGAAACGATCGGCCGTCTTGTTTAGATACGCCTCCACGTCTGAAGGAAACAGATTCACGGCCTGGGCCTGGGCGGGGCTCCTTTCGTCCACGGCAAACTCGGAGAACCCCTCGCCCCAAAGACCCTGTGGGAGATAACCCTGAGATCCATCATCCGTGACTCCCTGAGGCCCCAAGCTTCGGCTAGCTCCTTTCACTGCCATCAGATTATCGCAGCACGCCAGGACGACTCCAGCGGCGGCCATCGCCAACCGAACGAGCGCGAAAGGCTCGGCGCGCGGGAAAGACTGTCGCGCGCAGGGTTATTACCCACACGTGACTGCATCGATTCCACCACCAGCACACAAGTGGACAATTGACCAGCCGCACCAGCGCAGGCGCCAAAATTTCGGCAGTTCCCCCCCCCCCCCCGATCCGCCGATGCCCCAGACTCACCTTTGACCCCCCCCACACGCACACACACACACACACACACACACACACACACACAAACACACCCTGGAAGCTGCCGAAAACCAGACAAGATCCTGCGCAGGGGGAGGATGGCCCACAGAGGCCTCCAAGGGGGCAGCCCGAAACCAGGAACTAGCCCCATCAGTCTCACCGACCGCAATATCAGACAGGTCCCGGGGGTTCTAAATAGTGCGATCGGGAACCTGATCATTACATTCACACTTCCAGAAGCGGTCGACGGGAGTCTCTGCTGAGGCGCCGCACCTGCCACTAACTCCAGCGGTGGCCGAGAGATACCCTGCCGGGGGCAGTCTGTCCTCAGCCAAACCCAGCGACTCAAATAGTCCCCATGGTTACCGGCGGCTTCGCACTCACCGTCTCAGGTGAACTTGGCAAGGGGCCTGACAAAGAAGTCCAATCCTCCTACGACCGCCGCACCACAGCAATGACGGACGGGCAGCACCACCCCAAAAGATGGCAGCGCAGGTGGCCTGCAGGGCAAACCACAACTGGAAAAGGAAGTCGGAGTCAGCGACCCTCAGCTGATCACCCCCTTCGCGCGCCATAAAGCAGGAGAGACAGGGGCCCACTCGAGGTCCAAAACCGCGATGGACGCGGAGATGGGCCCCGCCACAACTTGCCGCCGAAACTTGGCACCGTTAAACTCACCCTGCACCAATTGCCAAACCGTGGCACACGGCATCCTGGACTTCTAATCCAGATAAATCCACGCATTTGCTGAACCCCTTTTCAGCTGATCGCACCTGGGACATCACTGAAAGCCGTCGTGATAACTGCTGGCCAGGTCCATTACGGATGCGGCGCACGCACCAGGGGTCCACCATTCAGGGCACGCGGCGGCGTGAGATCTCATCGCCTGGACCTGGGGGGGAGACAAATCAAGAACCTCATGACCCTGGGACCCAAGGGCCGAAACACCAGGTTTGCAAAGTTTGCTGACACGCCCAACAAACTTGGACAGAAGACGGATGTTGTTCTCACACCGCTCGAAATCAATGGCGCGCCTCCGCTCCAGCCTCCGCTGCAGTGAGTGGCGCGCCTTTGCCCCGCATCAGCATTGACACCAAGGTCTCGCACAGTGGACCTGCTCTAGACACAGCCAACCAGCATTATAAGGACGCACGATAAAGATGCAAGGGCATTGAAGGCCATGCCGACACTTCGCGGGCGGGGCGCGGCCAGCGAAAGCGACCAAGGATGGGCCGAGAGGCAAGGGTGCAAGGGTGACCTTGGGAAGTTGCTCCTCTTTACTACGCGGGCTGACTGTTGGCAGGCCTGCACTTTTGCAACGAGCCATGATCTGCCCCCCCAGCCGCTGACTGAAGGAAATAGAAGCACGCTCGTCGGCAACGACCGTCCCAGCTGATTCGGGCTGGCGGTATAGCGAGACAGCAGCCTGAGCGCGGTGCGAAGTCTGAGTAATGACGCCACCGTACTGTTTAATCCTGACAGGGAATTGGGCAGCACGACCACAGTCTTAAATCTAGCACACACAGATCTTGACCCACGGCATAGACCGGGCGCAGCCAGGAAGGACCCCGAGCCCTGTGCAAATGACGTGGGCACAAAACTTCGGGCCCCCAACATCCCAGGAGCCTCATGCATCACGGTTCCCTCAAATACAAAAGGGGGGCATTTCGCCTGAACCGCGAGCCCACTCGACCCGACATGGCCCAGCGCGCCACAACACTCTGCGAGGCCCCACGAAGCCCCAGCCGAAGGCAATCCGAAGTGCTTGGCCGCCCCGCGGCCGAGCTCACGGCCCAGCGCAGCCTGCCACGCCAAGGGGCCCCGAACGGTGGCGCCCCAACGACTGTGCCCCGGCGACCGATGGAACGGCCCCGAGCCTCACAACAGATGCGAAACATGGTGGGCCGCTTGCACACGGGACGCCCGCTCGGGACGGACCTGGGCGACAGAGCGACTAGGCCGAGCACGACCTGCAAGAGGAGGAGGAGGAGAAGGAGGAGGAGGAGGAGGAGGAGGAGCAGGAGCAGGAGCAGGAGGAGGAGGAGGAGGAGGAGGAGGAGGCGGAGGAGGAGGAGGAGCAGCAGGACTATGCGGCCATTGCACGCAAGAACTGAAACTCTGGGCGTGGGCCTGCACGGCCCCAGGCGGCATGGAGAAAGCAACCGAGGCGGCCACTGGCCCACCCCGGGGCAGCTCTCTGAACATCGGAGGGCTCCGGGGGGGCAGCCCTCCCACCGCGTCCACAGCGAGGGCCTCAAAACATCCGGAACCCCGGACGGTCGCTCCAAGCGGCCCCCAAAGGCCTCCCGAAATGGGCCCAGAAATTCACCTCGGCGCTCCATTATCTCTCCGGGGAGCTGCTTCACGCCCGAGGGCGCGACGAGGACCTCAAGGTCAGCACCTGGGTCAGATTCACGCCAGGAGCGCACGCGCTTAACCCCCCGCGGGAGGGCCTTGATCAGCGGCTGCCTATGCCAGCCGCAGTCTCCGCGCGCGCAGCAGACCAGGCCTGAATCAGAATCGAGCGGGCCGCATCAGAAAGACGATTCAAACGATCAAGATCTGGTGGACGCTAGCGAGCTGAGCCCGCCACCATTTAAATGACCCAGGACCTCCAGGGACTTGAAACTCACCAACTGGGCTGGCCAGCCCAGCCAGAAACTCCCTGGGGTTAGAAAATGACTTCCAAGATTTCTTGGTGAGAGACAGCTGAAACACCCCTAACTTCTGAAATGCGCGAGCTCGGAAGCATGAATCTGATCGCCGAAACCTATCACTGCATCATCCCAGACGCCCAACCGTTCCGCATTCGAACTGGGGGCAAGATCCACGGAAGCCTTCCTGAGGAGGGGAGGGCCATGCCAGAGGCCCTGGAGAGCATCACTCCGCAGTAGCCCGACAGAAAAATGCCCTGCACATGAAGGCTATCCTGTCAAAAAGCACTGGCGGCGGCGACGGCCAGTCCTCAGAGATGCGAGATGCGAAAGCGTTCCACGGCAGGTCGGGCCCAATGCACTGGGGAACGAACGGTTCAGCTCCAACACGCCTCCA